TTTGCTTGATATCATATTACTAACACACAGTGCAATACCTGACGTGGTAGGTGCTTAATAAACACTCAATTAATGAGTGAATGAAATTGAGGGTGTGTGTTCTGGCAACATCAGGAAAAATGCAACACTCATAGTATACAGGTGCACATCAGGACCTTCTCTCCCCAGGAACCATCGGGAGGAGGGTTTTCTTTAAATTGAAATGGAAAAATTTTATGGTAAAAAGGTCAAGGTAAGACTCATAATTCTCCATCCAAAGTGGAGAAGAATCCCTTTTCTCTGTAAAGATTAGAGAAAAATAAGACAAAAACATTGGCTTAAATGAACTGCAACCTCTCAGATTTGAATCACAAGCTAGCACATGAAAGTTCTTGGTATTTCCCTAAGTGTCCTGTACACAGGTATTTGCCTTATTCTTTGGCACACATAGACATTTGTTGTTATTGAAAGTTCAAAATTTACATAGTTACATGTTATTCCATACAAGTTCTAGAGTGTTTGAACATACAGTTCCAAAAAGATGTGTAGCTAGTTCAAAAAATTTGCTCCTGAAGTGAATGATAATGACAAATTGTTAGTTAGAATGTTGTACAAAATGGCACTCTTACCAAAACAATACCTCCAGGCCATGGCTAATACTAAACATTATGAATTTATGTTTAATACTTTTTCAATATGGAATGTGAAAATATCATTTGATTTCTATTTCTCTGATTTAAAGGCACAGGGCATTTTTACATGTTTTTGGTCATTTATGTTTCATCTTAAAATGTTTGTGTCCTTTATCTTTTTTTTGTATTTAGCTTTCACCTTTTTCTTATGGATTATTAAGTTCTATTACTATCCTATATAAAGATAGTTCAAAACTTTTCTGGAAAATAGAATTAAGATATGACTTTATCATGGTACAAAATTTTTTTGTACTCACGCATAATTTTTTAAAAATACAGATTTTACATGAACAGTTTTGAAGAACATGTTGCAAATGTGTCTCCTTCCATTAATTGTTAACTTTGTTTTTGGTTTTGCATATGTTTTATATCTGTTTTGATTCAACTTGTCCATCTTTTTCCTTCATAACATTTGTTTAAAGATTCTTCTATCCATTTGAAAGGCAGAGCTACAATGAGGCAGAGGTAGATAGAGAGGGAAGTCTTCAATCCAACGGTTCACTCCCCAAGATGGCCACAACGGCTGGAGCTGTGCAAATCCAAAGCCACGAGATAGGAGCTTCCTCCAGGTCTCCCATGTGGGTGCAGGGGCCCAAAGACTGGAGCCATCTTCCACTGCTTCCCCAGGCCATAGCAGAGAGCTGGATCGGAAGTGGAGCAGCCAGGACTGAAACCAGTGCCCATATGGGATGCCAGCACTGCAGGCAGCGGCTGTACCTGGCATGCCACGGTGCCTGCCCCATATTTTTTATTGTTTAGAAAATCTTTTCTCATTACAAATTTCTTACAGAATTTTCCTAAGTTTCTTCTAGTACTTTAATTGTTGGATGACTTATATTTACATATTTAATGCAATAGCTATTTTCCATAAATCACATAGATTTTAACAAATGTATGGTCAATTATTACAGCACAAGTTATTGAAAAATCAATATTTTTCCTCACTAATTTTAAAGCGTATTTTTCCACATAAGTTTCCTTATGTGTATGCAATTGTTTTACAACTCTCTCCACTGAAGTACTGGTCTATTTGTGTAATTCTCCATCAACCCAGCTGCTCTTGTTGCTGCAGCTTTGGAATGAGTTTTGATAACTGAGAAAACAAACTCATCTCCACATTGACATGTTAAATCACTTAACATTTTCAAAACATTCTTGTGTATTTTGGGCCACCAATATCTAAAGATTAAACTATTGAGTCTATTTATCTAGATTGTTTTAAACATATTGAGATCTGGGACAGAGTTATGTGTAAAATGGAAATTATTGGAGAATAAGCAACAACTAGTAAAATTTAAATATCAATCTCCTGAGCTTCCTCTTTGATGTTTTCTACTATATGAGCTCAGGTTTTCGGTGCTCTCTTCTGCACTTTTCTACACTCACCTCTCCAAAGGCCACTAACACGGGAAATGTCTCTTTTGCAGGTGCGGGGAGAACTTCAGGCAGGATCAGAAGCAGCTCCTGGAAGGCATCACGGAACTGGACCTCAACAGAGGGGGAATCCCCTCATACCTGCTGGTGCACGGGCCCCTGGCCTTTCCCCTGGGGCTGGACAGCTCTCTAAACTGCTTTCTAGCAGCTGCCCGCTATGGCCATGGTCGTGTGGTGCTGTGTGGCCATGAGAGCATGGTATTTGAAAGCAACATGGCAAAGTTTTTGATCAACGCTGTACGCTGGCTGAAAGGGCAGCAGAAGGGGAAGGTTGGGGTGAGTCCACAAGTGAAAGCTTTGGGCAACTTGTTAACAAAACACGACGTGGAGTGGACCAGCACCACCCTTCCAACCCGCGACTTGAGCGTCTACTGCTGTGCCTCACTCCACAACGTGAATGCCAGGAAGGTGGAGGACTTTGTTGCAGAAGGTGGAGGGATACTGATAGGCAGCCAGGCCTGGTACTGGAGTTATGATAACCCAGATTCCAACTATATGATTCAGTATCCAAGTAACAGGTTCCTTAAGCGTGTTGGTCTTGGCATTTTAATTGAGTCAGGCAATAAAGGCCGCTTCCCAGTCCCTAAGCCAGAGATGTTGAATTACCACATCCGAAAAGTTCTACCCCAATTTGAATCCATGCTGTTCAACAAGGGAAAGGTGTTAGAGAAGACCTGGCTGGAGAAGCTAAAAAAAGATATCTCCAATATGTTTCGAATCCCACACAATGGGATTCCCATCTATGAGTCCGTGCACCAAATCATCCTGAAAATGATCAAACAAAAGGGCTTGCCCACTGTGGATAAAGGAAACCCCATCAGCAGGGCCAGCCCTCAGGATCTCCTGACAGCCTGGGCCCGAGAGCTCTTCAAATCTGGAACGCCCATCTCTCTCTTGGTTGGTGATAACTCCCCCCTCCCTTCCACGGAATCTCCTGTCAGCATTGAGATCACCACAGGTATGGAATGGAGGACAGCAGAGCTGGGGCTGGGTAAGGGGGCATGTGGATGGTGGCTGGCTGATTCGGCAGCATTCCAGAAGTTACTCCCCTCAGGATAACCACCTATGTCATTTCCTAGGAACTTTTAAGGTGTGCCCTATAGATGCAATAGCTCTGGGAGGGACTGTGGGATTCTGGGTCAAGATGGAGACAAGGGAGATGGGAAGAGCTCAACCTTTCCCATGATTCTTACCAGACAACAGAGATTCCTGGGTAAGCACCGGACTCTACTTACCTGAGGGACGAACTGCAAAAGTGACAGTGCCCGAGAACGCTGTTGCTGCAAAACTGAAGGTAAGGCATTCCGCCCTCCAGGACATTAATTTTTGCCATGTCCTCAGCATGTTGACTTCTACTTGAAGTAAGTTCTTTTCAATTCTCTAACAAAAACACCAAACAGAGAGCAGGTGCCACTTTCATTCTACATATGAAGAAATTTGTCTCAGCAAAGCAGAGACTTGCTATGAGCAGCAGGTGGGGTGCAGAATCCGTAATACCAAGCAGAACCTCACGCATAACAAAGGTTCAAGAAGTGCTTGCTTTTCTCTTCTTTTGATCCAATATCAAGCCTTTTCCTTTAGTCCTTTCTGTAGGATCTGAAACAGGATCGAGACGTTGAACAAGCCACAACCCTATTATAGATATAGAAATTACTTATCAGACACAGAGAGAGGTTGCAGACCTACAGGAAATACCTGAGGCATAATCAGTATCTGCATTGGGTCAACATTTACCTGGGGACTCACTTTGTTTAAATCAAAGAGAAGACTCCTGAATTCTATAGAGAACAAGGAAAAATGATGGTCTTTAGGGAATGCCCTGTGGAAGTGGCTGAGTGAATCCTGCATTACTCACATTACTCATTCTGTGGAGCTTCTCTCTGCCCTCCATGCTTCGGGCAAGGCAGGACAACACACGTGACACTAAAACACAGACACACTGCCAATCCTCACCATCATGACCCCTTTCCTCCACCCTTGGTGGGCTCTCACTGACAGGTACAGATTGGCTGCCACACGGATGACATAGGTGCAGCGAGCACCTACTACCGCCCCCCTCTGATGACATACCAGTACTACTTAAACGAAACAAACAAAAGCATCTCCTGGCTCTGGGGAGGCCTCCTCTACATCCTTGTGCCACGGAAGTACAACCTGGGCACTGTGCGGGTCACCATCAGTGGGGCAGTGCGGGCTCCATACTTCAAGCTGGGTGAGTAGGGGGTTCCAGTTCAGGTGGGGACTCGGGGAAGAGGCAGGTGTGGGATGGAGAGTGGGCTGGTTGGGAAGGAGGGTGGGGACTGAGAGGAAGAAGAGGGTGAGGCTGGAGGGCTGCAAGCGGGCTGGGCAATGTGGACACACTACTTTGGGAGATTTCCCAGGTGGAGTGGGCAAGTCAAGGACTTGAGAGGAGGATGCAACAAGAAAGTTAATGAGTTACCAGGCTGTCCCTCAGCAAGGCAGAGGGCTATCATGAAGCCTAGGAAAGTGGAGTGGAGCAGGCTATGGAAACTTTTTTCCAGGGAAGACATCCCAGGAGGAGTGGAAGCGCTCTCTGCAAGGAAATCCAGCTCCCTGGGGCGAGCTGGCCACAGACAACATCATCCTGACGGTGCCGACTGAAAACCTCAAGTCTGTAAATAATCCAGAGTCTCTGCTGCGGCTCTGGGATGAGATGATGCAGGCTGCAGCCAAGTTGGCCTCTGAGCCTTTCCCCTACCGCAGGCCAGAGAGGATTGTTACTGACGTGCAGATCTCAATAGGTGAGTGTTCTAGGGGAATGCGCTGAGACTTTCTCTTCCAACTGAAGACATGGAGTTGAATTACCACTGGGACCAGTGGAGGAAACACTGTGTGAAGATCCTTAGGAGCCTGTGAACCATTTTCCAATGTAAACAGTGAATTATCACCTAGATCTTCCAAAAGAGAGGTGTCACAGGTAGGGTGAAATGAACCAAGTGCAGAACAAACAATTGTGGCTTCAGGAAGATACAAGAATTGAATGGGGTCAGAGTTTGCCATGAGAAGTGGTAGTGGGTGGATGCACAGTAATTTAAAGCAGAGTCAAAAAATCTTAAATTTTTTGAGAAAATCTAGATGCTTTGAAAAAAAATGAGAGCCCCATTGCTATCTTCAGGATCTTAAAATGACCCCATAAAATGGATTAAGACTACATTCAAGAATGGAGAATCTTACTGTTTTCTCCTAAGACCCAAGACCTCAGGGCACTGACACATAACACCCAGCTAAATTAAAAAATGAATGGTTATCCTCACAGTCATATTTCACATACACCAGTCCTTCAGGGTCAAGTGTAGAAGAGAATGCTCAACTTCATGTGATAACCTGAGGAGACCACTAACCTGCCATAAGCTTGGGTTTTGCGTAGTCAAATACTCTTCTGAATAATCTAGAATTACTCACCATATTGCAGATCCTAGGGACAATGGGGTATATTTATATGTGTGCGTCTACAAAGAACATCATACATGACCTCATATCTTCTACTCTATTGCTTTCTTCAGGTTTAATGCATGCTGGGTACCCCATCATGGGCCTACTGGCAGTAGTGCCTGAGGTCATTGATGAGAAGAGAATAAGAAGGTCTGGTGTTTGGGGTCCCCTCCATGAGGTGGGCCACAACTTCCAGCGATCCCCGTGGGTGTTCTATCCCCACACTGTGGATGCCGACTGTAATCTCTGGACTATCTATGTGCATGAGGGGATTCTAGGCATCTCCAGAGACAGGGCTCACCAAGCTCTGAGGCCAGAAAATCGGAAGCAGAGGATCAAAATGCACATGGATAAGGGAGCCCCTCTGAGTAACTGGGAAACCTGGACAGCTCTGGAAACATATCTTCAGGTACTGAGCACAAATGCAGGGAGGTGGGGACTACCGGGACCCAAAGTCCTGTAACATCTGATGATCCCACGAGCTGCACATCTCACTCCCTTGTCACATTGCACTCTATACCCTGAACCCAGGATTCTAGCACTGCATGGTGGCGCTGCTCTGTGGCTCATGTTTTACTACTAAAAATGATATTGCACAGATAATGAAACATGTCCCTCTCCTCTCCTCCACCTCATAAATTTGCAGCCTGAATCATTGTGAAAGATATATCATCCTTCCTTAACTCTGTTAAGCAAGCTTGTGACAGAATCATAGCTTTGCCTGTTTCTCCTGAGTCATCGTTTTAACTGAGCACAGTATCACCTTATTCTATCAATATGTTGAAGGGGTATTGTAGGTGGAAGACCGGGAAGTAAGATTCTCAAATGACATCTTCCTATACAAATTACAAATTTGGATGAGTTTTGTTTTCATTATAAAATAAGTAATACGTGCACAGTGCCTCATAATTTTTTGAAAACCTTCCTCTGCGTTTCTTACTAACCTGGTGGAATGCATTTAGCAAGTATCTTCATGATCTCCCAGTTACAGATTTATAAACTAACGTTAAAGAACAAAAAGAGCTTTCCCCTGACATTACAAATAATAACAAACAGAAAGGCCTGGATTTCAGTATGAGAATTTTGGTACAGAAAATTCGGAATTTAAGCCTACTTTTCCTAATACACATTTACCATGAACTTTTTTTTCTTTGACAGTCAGAGTGGATAGTGAGAGAGAGAGACAGAGAGAAAGGTCTTCCTTTTGCCGTTGGTTCACCCTCCAATGGCTGCCACGGCTGGCGCACTGTGGCAGCGCATTGCGTTGATCCGAAGCAAGGAGCCAGGTGCTTCTCCTGGTCTCCCATGGGGTGCAAGGCCCAAGCACTTGGGTCATCCTCCACTGCCTTCCCGGGCCACAGCAGAGAGCTGGCCTGGAAGAGGGGCAACCGGGACAGAATCCGGTGCCCCAACCGGGAATGGAACCTGGGGTGCCAGCGCCGCTAGGTGGAGGGTTAGCATATTGAGCCGCGGCGCCAGCCTACCATGAACTTTTAAAGACCTCTCACAATTATTTCCTTCCCCATGATAAGGACCCTCATGTCCTTACGTGGTTTTGCTTCAGTTATTACTTTCTTTGTTCATATCTGTAACCCTGGTGTTTAGCAATGTACTCCTTAAATAAACGATTGCTTATACTTAGTATTACACATCTTCTAATAGCCTAAACTGAGTAAGAATGAAAGAACTGTGGTGGTGCCATTTGGAACACTCCACTTGACTTTGTTCTCAAGGTTGTTATTCCTCAGTGTCATACTCTCTTAGAATACGGTCCAGAAATCTGCTCCTTCTAACCCTAAACCTCCAGAGTCCTGGATATGCATTTCCATCTTTTGGCCACAAAATATGAGAGAGTATTCAAGCCTCAGTCAGATTTAAATCTTTATATGTACCATTAATATTAGGAATGAGAAAAATAATAAAACCCCAAATAACTAGCATTTGTTGGGAGCCTCCTACAAAGCAGGTAATGTGCAAGCACAAATTCCATCTCTGAGTGGTAGACCAGTGCATGGTGCCAGCCACTGGAATGGGCTGTAAGGGATGGAGAGACAGAATCACTGATTAAAATGAAAGAGATATTAATAGGTGGCTAATAATTAAGCATCACCATGTCATATAACATGGGTGGTGGGTGGGAGGTGACTTTTGTAAGTCTAGTGACCCTTCATTCTGCCTGGTCCTTCTCTTTCCAGCTCCAGGAGGCCTTTGGGTGGGACCCATTCATCCAGCTCTTTGCTGACTACCAGGTCATCACCAAGTATCCCAGTGACAACGCTGGAAAGATGAACCTATGGATGAAGAAGTTTTCTGAAATAGTGCAGAAGAATCTGGTTCCTTTCTTTAAAGCCTGGGGCTGGCCAATCCAGAAGGAAGTGGCTAATAGCCTGGCCTCCCTGCCAGAGTGGGAGGAAAATCCCATGAAAGAATATGTCAGAGACACCTCTGAACATTCATCCTCTAAATGAATGAAAAGCATCATTCATTGGATGCAACAAACTAATCTTAATTTCAAAATTTTCCCAATACTTTCCTAATCATCCTTTTTCAAGATTGAGATTAGATAGTTGATCTTTGAAATAAATAAAAATTTAAAGTAGCTGATTTTCTTTTTTTTTTTTTGACAGGCAGAGTTAGAGAGAGAGAGAAAGAGAGAGAGAGAGAAAAAGGTCTTCCTTTTCCATTGGTTCACCCCCCAAATGGCCTCTATAGCCGGTGTGCTGCAGCTGTCATGCCACGGCAATCCGAAGGCAGGAGCCAGGTGCTTCCTCCTGGTCTCCCATGCGGGTGCAGGGCCCAAGCACTTGGGCCATCCTCCACTGCCTTCCCAGGCCACAGCAGAGAGCTGGACTGGAAGAGGAGCAACCGGGACAGAATCCGGTGCCCCAACCGGGATTGGAACCTGGGGTGCCGGCGCCACAGGTGGAGAACTAGCCTAGGGAGCTGCGGCACCGGCCAAATTAGCTGATTTTCAAGATAAGTCATACATATAGTTGAATCAGTTTTTCCCTAGTGTAATTTTTTAACAAGTTAGTATTTTGCTTTTTGATTTATTTGTTTATCAATTTTGCATTTGCTGTGTTGGATGTCAAGAGCGGCTTAGGTACAGAGAACTAACCCAAAGAATGTCTTTCTCTGAATCCATTTAGAGCCTTTTTCTCTAAACCCAAAATTATTTCATATGCTTTAAAAATATCTTCTGGCTAGGTGGTTTATAATGTGTAGGTGGTCATACAGATACTTGAAACTCAAATTTGGGACACAGAGATTTTATTTAATTTCAAAAATATGTAACTCATTTTTCACATGATGAAAAATCCCAGTTCCCTAAGACACTAACACAGTGATCCATTTTCTTATATCTATTCACACACACACACACACAAACAGCTGCAAAACATAAATCGTAATGCAAATACAAACAGTATGCTACTGTCACAGTTGATGATCATTTTCAGTTTATTTTGTCCTCATGATATATTTTATTAAGTATATAAAGACAATCTCATTTCCTTGAAGTCCAATAAAATAGCTCTTCCCCTATGGTTATACAACTAAGTAGTCATATATGTTAATTCATTTTGTTATTCTACTTTTGATTTTTGAAATTGTTTTAGAATTCAATTTTAATATTCATATGAATCAAAAATACAATCATAAAAAATTTTGTTTGTGTCCCTGTCTCATTTGTACAATTGCCTTATTACTCCTCTATGAATTAATGCTCCATTGTTTGTTTATAGAAACGCACAGATATTAGTAGCCCTCTTTTTCTTAGGCAAGGAAAAACACATTCTATACATATTTCCTTCCCCATGTTTTTCTGCTTATTTACTGTATGTGGCTCTATAATATCATGTGCGATACTCTCTATTATACTGCAATTTATAGATATAATAGTTTATTCAATAAATACTTTACTGACAGACATTCAAGTTTCCAGTATGTATTCTGCAAGTGTCTTTACTACCACAAATAGACTTCAGTGAATATGCTTCTGTGTATATTTTCTCCCTCTTTGTCTCTCCCTCCCTCTGTAACTCTGCCTTTCAAATAACTAAATAAAAATACATATCTTAAAAAAAGATTTATTTATTCATATAAAAGAGTTACAGAGATAGGGAGAGCTTCTCCTTCCACTGGTTCACTCTCCAAATGGCTGCAATGTCCAGGGCTGGACCACACCAAAGCCAGGAGTAACGAGCTCCATCTGTGTCTCACACATAGGTGCAGGGCCCCAAGCATGTGGGCCATCCTCTGCTGCGCTCCAAGGAGCATCAGCAGGGAACTGGATCAGAAGTGGAGCAGCCAGATCTCGAGCCGGCACTCATAGGGGATGGCAGCATCACAGGCAGAAGCTCTGCTTGTTTCACCGCAACACTGACCCCATAAATACATCTAAAAAATCAGTTGGCCAGGCAATGGACAGAGGGAAACACACGGCTGGAGGCCAGAGGCTTACATCTGTGGCTCCTCTATCATTCACAAACTGATAATAAGAAAAAAAATGATAAATAATTCTATACTATTAAGTAATTCAATGACTAATTGAATTTTGGTGAATGTTTATGCAACACTGTATAAAAATAATTTCACATTGTTATTTTTCATATTTGTAACATTTTATTGAAAAATCATTAGGACATTAAAATTTCTGTCACTTCCATATGACCCTAACAAATGTTACCTTTATATATCTTTTAACATAATACATCATTTTTCTTAATTAGATTACATACTGCTGTTTTGTATTCTGCTTAGAAACATCCTTCTATTTTTACAACTAATAGTCTTAATGTGGGCCCAGTGCTTTGGCATAATGGGTTGATACTCTGGCCTAAAATCCCAGCATCCCCTGTGAGTGCCGGATCAAGACCTGGCTGCTCCAACTCCAGTCCAGCTCTCTGCTACGACCTGGGAAAGCAGTAGAGGATGGCCCAGGTCCTAGGGCCCCCGCACCCATGTGGGAGACCCAGAAGAAGCTCTTGTCTCCTAGTTTTGGATCGGCACAGCTCCAGCCATTGAGGCCTACTGGGGAGTGAACCATTAGATGGAAGACCACTCTCTCTCTCTCTTTGTAATTTCTCTTTCCTCTCTCTGTGTAATTCTGACTTTCAAATAAATAAGTAAACCTTTAAAAAAATAGTTTTAATGAGACTGTGCAGTCATGACATAATTCTATAACTTTATGAAAATATCTCCTTTTGTTCAGAATTTAAATATTTTATATTTGGGTAACTTGAAGGGAAAGTCTGTATTTATACATCAGCCATATAGATGAAATCAAAAGAGAAATAAAAATTTCTAAATGAATGAGGATGATAAATCATATTAGAACTATGGAATACAGCAAAAGCAATGTTAACAGGGAAGTTTGCAGCAATCAGTGCCTACACCAAGAAATGGGAAAGGTACCAAGTATATGAGCTATCAATGCATCTCAAGGATCTAGAAAAACAATAAGCCAAACCCAAGATTAGTGGGAGGAAAGAAATGATTAACAGAAGAAATAAACAAAAAATTGAAACAAAAAAATACAAAACATCAGTGAAATGAAGAGCTGGATTTGGAAAAAAATAAGTAAAATTGATATAGCATTGACCCAACTAACCAAAAATAAAATAGGAAGAAGACCAAAACAAATAAAAATCAGAGATGAAAAAGGAAATATAACAATATCACAGAAAATAAAATAATCATAAGACATTACCACAAAGAGCTGTAGACCAACAATTTGGGAAACGTAGAAGAAATGGTCAGAATCATAGACACATGTAACCTATCAAAATTGAGTCATGAAGAAACATAAATCCTACAGACCAATAACTGAGACAGAAATTGAATCAGTAATAAAGGCTCTCCCAACAAAGAAAAGCTCAGGACCAGACAGGTTCACTGCTGAATTCTACCAGACATTTAAAGAACTAACTCCAAATCATCTGAAGCCATTCAAAATAAGTGAAAGATAAGGAATCCTCCCAACCTCCACTATGAAGACTGCATCACCTTAATTCCTAAACCTGAAAAAGATACAACAGAAGAGAACTAGACACCAATATCCCTGATGAACATAGATGCAAAAATCTTCAACAAAATATTAGCTAATTGAATGTAACAACACATGAGAAAGATCATTCACCCAGACCAAGTAGGATTTATCCCTGGTATGCAGGGGTGGTTCCACAATTGCCAATCAATAAATGTGATACATCACATTAACAAATTGAAGAACAAAAACCATATGGTTATCTCAATAGATGCAGAGAAAGAATTTGATAAAATACAACATCCTTTCATGATGAAAATCTTTAGCAAATTGGTTATAGAGGGAACACTTCTCAACACAATCAAGGCAATTTATGGGAAACCCATGGCCAACATCCTATTGAATGGGGAAAAGCTGAAAGCATCCCTCCTAAGATCTGGAACCAGGCAACGATGCCAATTCTCACCATTGCGATTCAATATAGTCCTGTAATTTTAGCTAGTGCCATTAGGCAAGAAAAAATTCAAAGGAATACAAATTGGATAGGAGGAAATCAAACCATCCCTATTTGCAGATGACATGTTGCTACATATAGGTGAATAAATCTAACTAAGGATATCAAAGATTTCTAAGATGAAAATTGCAAAGCACAAAAGAAAGAAATAAAAGAAGACATTAAAAATGGAACTTCATTAAAAATGAAGTTCTTCCATGTTCATGGATTGGAATAATCAACACCGCCAAAATGCCCATAATGCAAAAAGCAATTTACAGATTCAATGCAATTTCAATCAAAATACCAATGACATTCTTCACAGTTCTAGAAAAGTTTAATAAAGTTCATAGGAAACATAAGAGTCCCCAAAGAGTTAAAGCGGTGGCATCACAATACTTGATTTCAAACAAGCTATAATTATAGTCAAAACAGTCTGGTTCTGGCACAAAAATAGGCTTGTAGACAAATAGAATGGAATAGAAACTTGAGAAAACAACCCATGCATCTACAACCAACTAATCCTTGATAAAGGAGCTAAAATCAATCCTTAAAGCAAGAAAAGTCTCTTCAACAAATGGTGCTAGGAAAACTGGATCTCAGCATGAAGAAGTATGAAGCAAAAGCCCTATGTTACACTTTGAACAAATATCCACAAAAATGGACCAAAAACCTAAATCTATGACCCAATACCATCAAATTTATAGAAAACATTGGGGAAACTCTGCACGATATTGACATAGGCAAAGACTTTTTGGAAAGGACCCCAGAAGCATAGGCAATCAAAGCCAAAATTGAAAAATGGGATTATATCACATTGAAGTCTTCTGCACTGTAGACTCATAGAATGGCAAATGCCCTAAACAGCACTCTGGCCTCAGAATCAGCCCTTAAGGCATTCAGTTCTGGCTAAAAACCCCATGAGAGTTTCTCAGGTATGGAAAGCCAAGACACTGTGGCAAAAAATGACCTAAATGAAAGATCTCTGT